CATTTTATGAAAATCTTGAGAAATTTTATAACTAAACTAAAGTTTTCTTTATAATTTATAAATTATATACTTATAACTTCAGTTCCAAAATCTAACTAAATAAAGGTATGAAATACTAACCCGGATATGGTCTCTCGCCATTTTATATTTATTAATAAAAATAGAAAACGAATAAATTTTATTATAAAGGTTTAAAATACATAGACTAATATTTCAAGTTATTATCTTATTAAAAAATTAAAATTAATTTTTTAAAAAAATTATCCACTTACTTTTCAAAAATTAACTTTAAATGAAATAGAAAAATTTTAAAAGATTTATTCATTTTGTATGAATTGAGGAGATATAATTGTAAAGAAAATTATTAATATTTTTCTGGTTTGATTAATTGGCTAAGAAAAGAAGAAGGTTGTTTAATGAATTATGAGAAAATATTGAATTATATTTATAATAAATAGATTTTTTTTTTTTTAAATTTTCTATCCACAATTTCTCTATTATTAATTTGAATCAATTAATATTTATGAGTTTAATTATTGGTAACACTTTGTGAATAAAATCGTAAATATTATTATTATATAAGTATTAAGTTATAGTCGCATACGTAAGGCAGTGCATCAGAGGGGGTGTGTGTGTATATATATATTATGAAAAAGAAAAGAAATTAATGAAAGAAAAAAGTGAAGATATATATTATAAATGTATATGTTAAAAAACAATATGTCACTTTTTGGTGGGAGAAGAAGGTTCTGATAGACAATAATAAATTAGGTTTTTAAATAGTTTTAATTTACATATAAAAAATGTGTTGGGATAAGACATTTCTCTATTTTAATCACATTTTTATTTCTCATGTCGGCTCATGCGTCCGTCAATTTATCTTTTCACCCCTTTTTTTTTTTTTTTTTTTCTTTTCATGTTCAATCAATCAATTCTGAAAAATCTATACATTTCACTATAGTTATATATATATATATATATATATATGTATATATTAATTTTACATTACTTAATAATAAAAATTTAAATTTTATAACAATTGGATCAAAACCCATTTCGTGAAAATTGATATTAGTTTGGTTTAATTTTATTTTTAATGATACAAAATTTAAAATTATTTGAAACATTAAATTATAATAAGTAAGTGTATATTTGAATTAAAAAATGTTGCATTACTATTAATCATAATATAAACTTATATAGAAATAATAAATCAAATGCAACCGAGCTTGTTGGGTCTATAGAAATTTGAAATATTAATTTGTAAAAAGGGTTGATGATAATCATGTGTATAGTAATTAGAATAATAAAAAGCACAACCATCCAACTTGGCATGGGACATGAGATTTATCTTTTTGAGAATATATATATATGTATATATTATATGTAGTTATTATGTAATATTTATCCTCGGGGCATAACTTTTTGTTAACGATAAGGATCAAACTCACTTGAGCCCACATACCTTTTCATTCATTATCCAAATGTTATACTCTTCTTTTTTCTTTCTTCCATAATTTATTTGAAGACATTTTTTTCAGAAAAAAATAATAATAATAATTTATGAAATTTTTACACTTGAATTTTTAGTTAGATGGTATTTATTTGCTTTGATAAAAAGTAAATATAATTATTGTTATTGTGAAATCCAACTTTTGACTCTCGACACTTGGAAAGGGACCATCACTTATCCGCTTGTCGTGTCAACTCCAATTTTTAATTCATCAATTACTTACTCAAATATTTATGTACCAACCAATTATTACTAATCATATCTTTAATTTAATTTGATCACCTAATAAAATAGTCAAAATGTTTTATTTTTTAAAATTTATTATGATTAAATTTAATTTAACCATTGTATTTTCAAGATTAATAAATTAAAATTGATCGTATTAATTAAATATTATATAATGATTAAATATCATTTTATAACACGTATAAAAAATAATAAATTTTATATTTTTAATGATATTTCAACTTATAATATTAATTACGAACTTATCCACATGAATCTTGACCCCCCAGATTCACAAGGGCCCTCTAAATTATTTTCCCTTCTTTAGAAAAAAAAAAAAAAGTAAATATTTCCATCACTTTAAGAATTTCATAAAATAAATGTATTTCATTATCAATTGAACTAACTATTTTTAGTAGGTATTATATTTATAATTTTGGTAATTTTATTATAAATGATCTAAAATTAAAAAAAATAAATTTTAATTTAATTATATTATATTATTTAAAATATTATTAATAAAAATTAAAAAATTATTACTTGTAATATAAATTTTTTTTTTTTTTTTAAAAAAAAAGAATCATATGACACGTGAAATATAGAATGCCTAACTTGTTCGTTTTTATAAAAAAAATTAAATGAAAGATTTGGTGTCCCTTATTTATCAAGGCCCCAAATGCGTGCAACCTTTTTTTAGTTAACGAAACTATCAACTCTTTTCGGATTTGGTCAAAAATCTAAAAGGGATTTATTTGAATCATGTCGCACGTGGCTAAAGAAATGCACCCGCACATAATGTTTGAAATATGTGTGTGAGAAGGATGTGACGTATTAGTGAAAGATCCTTTAGAAGATATATGCATATTATACATCTCGAAGACCAAAAACTCAAAGTCATCCACATTAAATAATCCCTTGTTTTGAAAAAAAAGGAATAATTTCACGACATTTAATGTTCCCTCACTCTTACATATATATATATATATATTAAATTACAGCTTTTCTGGGTTGTGGGTGGATTTCAATTACATGGGTCGGGTCAAATGTGGAATCATATATATATATATATATATATAATATAAGAAAGAATCCTTGGTCAGCGGTCACATCAGGCAAGAGACACCTGTAGATTAGGTGTTGGGGAGTCCCAAATAATTGTTGTAAAAAATGGTGATGGTGGTACCTTGCACCTGCAGTTTTTATTGGGCTACGTACACCCTCCAAAAATAGCTTTCAATTTCATCATCAATTTTGCATTAGTACTTGAAATCTTTGCTTGTAGGGACGTTACATAAACCAACTCTCACATTTCAACTTTTTCTTACTTTCTATTTATATAATTTTTCCAAACAATTAATGTGTCTTCCTTTCATCATCAATCATTGAATGCATTTGCCCTAAATGATTATCATACTAATTATAATAATATCTTAACCCATAAATCTGTTTGGTGAATTAGAAAAATCTCACCGGTCCTTTTTTTTTTTTTTATAAGAAAATTAAAAGTCATCATCTTTTTTAGATTTCAATGTTTCAATTAATGAATCTTTTGACTTTTTTACCTACTCGTTGATGGTAATTTATTGAATTTATAATGTAAAAATAGTTATTAAAGCATATATTTTGATTAAAGTTTTAGATAATTGTGACCATATGTTGTTATTATTATTATTATTATTATAAGATGATGGAGTGATATGATTACAAAAAAATATATGTATATACTTAAAAAGTTGTTCGAGGATGTTTGAAAAAGACTAGAGAGAAAGTAAGGGAAATTAAGGTTCATGCACTTCTTTTAA